AGCTAAGCTAAGGCGCCGCTGGATTGTGCTGTGCTGCGTAGCTGCATGAGTAAGTCTTTAACACGCATCTTTAGCTTGCATTCAATCATCGTTAGCACTTAAATTGGTATGGAATAATTTAAGCTTTGTTAAAGTTCTATTAAAGCAATCCTATGTGCGAATCATGCACATTCTGAGTAATGTAGCATAGCTCAAGTAGAATAGCATAGTGAGTTAGTAAAAAAATCGATCAAAATATCAAAAATATGCTGATTATTTTGCATGCATTTATTATAATTGTCACAAATAGTTAGTTACAAAAAAAACATTCGTCGGCAGGATAATGATCATAGATAGCAAAATTACATATAGTGCACCAAAAAAAGTTGCTTAAAAATATTTTCTTTAACATTTCGTCTTCATTGATAAAAACAAAATGTTGCAGCGAATACAAATTTGTAATGTGCCCACAACCAATGCAGAAATCACGTTTTATAAAATGCGTCAATGGCCAAGGCCATTTTAAATTTTGTTGCCAATACAAAAAGAAGTCTGCTCGCTTGAAGAAATTATCTACGTCCAGAAGGATTACCATTGTAGATATATACCTCTGTATATGCTGCGTAATCCTCTGAAAATGACCTGTAACGAACAGAAAATAGCAGATAGTTAATTCGAATATTTTCTGAACATATACTCAAAAAGTAGGTACAAATAGACAACATAGTCATACATTGAAAGATAATCAGGATTTTTGATTTACATTCAAATAATTTATTTGTTATAAACTAAAAAACCACGCTTTTATACAAATCTAACTAAAGAATATCTGGCAATTTTCATACATTGGCGGTCCAAAAAAAAAAAAAACTTGCGCGGCCAGATCTAGAATTATTCCTAATTGCTAGCTCACACATACTGGAAACTATTACTAGGTATATGACTTCCAGGGCCCTGGAACAAAGGCAAGTAAGGAATGGGGTGGGTTTTTAGTCGGTAAAAGTCCGATACTATCTCCCGCTCCGGGATTTGTCATTTGATGATTTTCTACTCACCATAAAAAAACCCTTTCACTGCTTTTTCATACTTTTTCTCAATTTAGCCACCACTAAGACAAGACAGTTACGGGGTCAAATTCATAGTAGTAGTTTAAGGTATGTGTGACCCAACTGTTGGGAGTGATTTTAGGTCTGGTCGCTTAAAAGTTTTTTTTTTATTAACTCGTCGAGTACCGGTTTTATAGACACAATTAAAGAACAATAGGTCGCGGTCACCGGTGACCGCTTGGTGTTTGACAGTTTAAATAAGAAAAACCAAACCGTTTTGACGTTACTTCAATTCAAACTTGATTTCGTCGGTTGTATCTACTGTGTGCTGAGTGCGAGTTTGTTTTATGTTAACTCAATCGAAACGTTACCGCGTGTAGCCCTCTAATTTGTTGATTAGCTTGGAGTGGGCCAATTAGAGCGCCGAACGTCATACATAAACGTGTCGATCGTGTTAACGTAAACAAACTCGCAATAGGATACTGTTTCAAAAGATTCCGGCTTAAGGATGAATTGCATTATTAATGCCATTGTGGTAGTTCCATGATATAATATAAGTTTAATAAAAATACTGAGTTTATAATTTACTTGTACATATTTTCAATTTGTTAAATATCGGCCAGCTTGCACATTATTTACTAAGAATGTAAGTCATTTACTACTCGTAATTTAAACAATAAGTAACTTAAACACATTTTGACGTGATTTGTTTATGCATAAAACCATCAAAAAAAGATTTTTACTGCTATGCCAATGAACGCACCGTATACGTGCATGTTGATTTATGTTAAAAATACATGATGAAACAGCGGAAAATAATGATAAAATTAAGAATATTGCTTACCTTTAACACCCAATACACAATTATACTATAACCACTCAATAAAACTTCAGTTATTTCAATGTTCACAAACACTCTTTCCAGCACCGACCGTTTCTTCCTTTTTTAAAACAAGAATGATAGTTCGAAGCAAAAACCGACAGTGCTTCCACATTTAAAAATTGTTTCTAGCCGTGAATGTTGCCAAATATTTATATAAATTTCTATAATTTTTTCTTTATGGCAAAAAACCTCCAAATGAACATTCAACGCAAATGGAACGTTGGTGGCATGACATAGTAATCTCAATAAACGCAAATGGTGCGTTGGTAGCAACGAATGGGTTAATAGAGTTTCAAATAATAAATTTTTTTTTCCAATCGACGCACGTTTTTAAGATCAAAAAGATATACCACACGTGTACCACACCATGAACTTCTCTTTGTGTGTTCTTGTATTGTTGTCTGCGTGTGTGTCGTGCCGTACTAACGGTGTTTCATTCTTTCTTTGTATATAGCGCCATAGCCAGAGTTGGCCACACAGCCACTAGTCTACAGATACAATGTTAGACCCCGGCTTACCTTTGAGTACTGGAGTGACTCTGATAAGTTTCTAGAATGTCGGAAATGTCGCTGTGCATTCAGCGACTTGTGTAAAATATAACAAAAATGCAATGATTCCGCCAGTACTCTACAGTACAGTCAGTACGTAACAAGAACGAACACCGGGACTCGCCGGTCGCCTGATTTGCTGATTTCAATATAGGAGGAACATACTAAACTTCTTTACCCATCTATATCATTAGGTTTGCTCTTACTTGTCGATATATTGTTGTCAATAGTCGAAAGAATGTTACTCACTGTCGGGTAGTGTGGGCAGACAGGACAGGATAATGAAAACTCGTGCATGCGCAAGGTAACATATCGATGATTTATTTATTTAGGTACATAAACACCGATGGAGACAACGTGTCGGCGGTACAACAGGCAAGCGGCCACTACTCGCGACTCGCATGCACCACAAATCAAACTAAATATAAATACAACAATTAACGTTTATTTTCAATCCATAGAACCATATATAAATTAATTCAAACAAAATACTACGCGTACATGTAAAACAATATGGTTTTATGTTGTTGCAATGTAGACGAGTGTAGAACAGACAAATAGCCTCTCATCGAGGGCGCGCTTCATAACAAAATAAATAAATAATAAGACAGCACAGAGGAGGCGCATGGGCGCGGGGGCGCGGCGGAGCGGGGGCGCGGGGGCGCCCAAACGTCCCGCCCAGCGCCTCCGCGCCCACCGCCCTGCTATTTTCTTACATACGACTCCATCTTATCACGATACCTTAATATTATTACATTATTATATTCATGTTATATTTTTGGGGAAAACAAGTATATTATGATGTATGTATAGGTACCATTATTTTATACAGAATATTGCATAATCCGATGTATATTTTTTAACAAACAAGATGGAATATCAAATGCCGCGCGGCGCGGCCGTAAGTATATTAAGTTTTATTACAATAATATCGTTTGATATGAAACAGTGCATTTCAAAGTCCAACCGCCACACCTATGTATAGAAACCCTCACTTGTAAACTTTTATAGAAAAAACATTTTATTGTTCTCGCTTTGTATCCATAAAATACTTTCAAATGCAACAACTTCTTAGTCTTACTTTATAAACATTATTTTCTTTCAATTCAATAAACATTCAATTGACTTATTTATCAACGACAAAAACCTACAAAAATATATTATAACATTAGCACGAGTCAAATAGAGTGCGGGGAAACGTCCGGGTGACGTCATCAGTGCGTAAGTCGCGACGGCGCGCGGCGCACGGGGCGGAGCGGCGCGTGCGCCGGCCGCGCGGGCGCACCCGGTCCGCCGCCTGCGCTCGCGCCTACCACTTCCTTCATTCTGTCCGTGGGTTCTACCCAATCGATACATTAATGCGAGTCTCTTTACAACTAAAAAAAAATTATATAAACTTTCAAAAACATTAACATCTACAGCCATAACAAAAATAGACTAATGACAACTACGCTACGGAATCTACATACTACCTACACTATCCACTAAGTAAATTTGAAACGAAACTAGTGTTCGCTCACTACTGAATCGACAGAAGGTACTGTGGGCACCGGGTGCCCGGCAGGAGCTAATCTCATCTGGAGCAGTCCTACGAAGCGAGCTAGTGAGACACCGGCGAGCGCGAGCGGCCCGCGAGCCGCCGGGGCGCGGTACATCTTGTGAGACGTGGGACGGACGAAGTCAGAGTTTACAACAGCAACGTTTATAATACAGATTTCGAGTAGGTTCGAGTGCCCGGGGCCGGCTCGGGGCCCTATTAAAACTATCTATATACAGACGCAGCCACTATACTTGCGCATGCGTACGCGAGCCACTTGAGCAAACACGCGACCGCCGCCATGGCCGGTATCGAAATACATAAATATTCAACAACATTAACTTATTATAATAACACCGCAGTCGCAGTCGGTCGGACTGCGCCGGCGCGCGCTCGGGACGGCTCACAAATACCGTTCACAAATAACAATTTCTCATAAATTTGGTCCGTACGTCGTTGACTAACCCTGTTGAGTGTCGGACCGAGTCCGAGAGAAGGAATTAGAGACGACGATAGATCAAGAGCTCGAACGGAACTTTGGTTAAGATTCTCCTATTAAACTAAGCAGATAAACTTACGGTAACTGCAATATCAATTAAACCTACTAGTCGAACAAGTTACAAAGTAGACCGACGAGATCACCGAATAGCTACACTATCGTTCTTAACATGTCAACATGGACGACAGCGGGTGGACAGAGGGTCGCGGCGATCCTGCAACATTCGATGAGCTCGCGGCCGAAGCAGCCCCACTAGGGAAGTGAACGAGCAGCAGGCTGGCACGGCGCGACCGACGCGAGGCGAGCGGGGGCGCGGGGCGCGGGGCGCGGGGCGTGGGGGCGCAAGGCCCGACCGGCGGCGCGCCGGGGAGTGCCCGCGACCTGCAACATGCAACACGTTACGTGCTCCGTTGCTACTGCACTCGTCTACAAGTCCACTTTGAGGGGATGTACTTACATGTCGTGTGGCGTGTTTGTGCTATGCGGGTGGTGGGGGGGCGCGGGCCGCCTATACATCCGCGAACTTTGAGAGCTTCTCTCGCAGGATGTGATTTTCCTTCTTAAGTAGCTCCACTTCTTGTCTCAGGCCCATGTTCTGGAAATGTGTATAATATTCATTAAAATTACTGTATGACGGGTATGACGTACTTCGTACTATGTGAGATACAATAACGCTAATAATTAATATTGAGTATGCCTTATTTAGTGGGAAGTCAAAGTTCTTTTACTATTATTCGAGCGTTGAAGGTTTGGTGCTAGAAAGAAAAAGTAATTAGGCGTGATATACTGAAACTATCTCCATCTGCCGGTTTGCACGAAAAAAATATTGACCATCCGGGCCGTTGTTTTTCGATATTTCGGTCGCCTAGATAGGGGATCTAAAATAATCAAGTATCTATGCTTAATATGGTGGGTATACCACACGAGGATAGAGATTACTCATAAATTAATCTGACACGCTCGAATAACCACAGAAATCGTTCATGGATCCCCACTAATGGTGTGTACAGTAATTGGAACCGACCTCTTTCTCCAGGTACCCTGCCCGCATTGCGATCTGGTTTTCTTTCATGCGGCGTGCGTCGCGGGACCGCTTCGCCGCCATGTTGTTCTTCCGCCGACGCGCCCAGTACTTGTCGTCTTTCAGGTCGTCAGGCACGAACTGGTAACGAGACGGACGAGGATTAGCACGACGCCACACTCCCACACTACCCGCCACCCAGCACCCGCGGCGCTCAACTACTGCCTTACACACAACCTCTCAACCACTTAACATACTCGGTATTCACTACAGCACACCGATGTGCTTGCTTCACCAGTATACCTATAAAAATATATCATATTATTTAATTTTATTTTATTTGAAACCGTGGTTACAAGGGTTTTGGCATTGATATCGCTTGATAGCCTGTGCGCCAGCATAGCCCCTACAATGTCCACTATAAAAGAATCCAAAGTGCCTTTACCATGTCTCTTTAACTCTTTGTGTATGTTTTATTATTATCGAAATCGGTAGATTTGGGAGGCAGTGTACCGGTAGTTAGTATTTGGGGTTCGAGATCAAATCGATCATTCCTCAGGTACCATGACGCTCCGTGGTCCTTCGGAAATAGCATTCTATGAATCATGCGGTCGGGATCTAGCGCGGTATTCGCGCATTCATTCTAATCTTTCTACTCTCCTAATTTCTCCTCCTATATCCGAATTACCTAATTCTCCTCTCTGTAACTGAGGTAGTGGTCGAGAATGACACCGAGATATTACAATCATCATATTACAAATCCCCAAAAGGTCGGTGACGACTTGTTTCCAAGGGATCGGCTTTTTGGGACAAGTCAGCTACAAACTCTCAAGAACGCTGTAACTCCTGTAAGTCAAGATCAACAGTTACAATCATGAATACTGCAGTCCATCCCAGGGTCATAAATAACTGTCTTAGATCCTGTGTTGTGGATAAATCAGAAGATATTTAGAGGAGAAGAAAAAACAAAATAATTTCGACTTCCCTCTGTAAATTTAATGCAGGAGACAGAATTAGTTTAGTCATAGACACAAAAAGACTGCCCACATGGGGGAAGTCCAGTCTTTAAGCACCGCTGAAAGACTAAGGACCTGTTTCACTATGTCTAGATAGCTTGGAGTAGTGAGGTACAGGGGAGCACGGCACCCTGCGGTACACAAATCTAGCTGGGCGAAAGGTTGAAATCGCTCCTTCGATGCCATAATTATCAGAAAGATCTGCCACACCTTCGGAATATCGGAAAACAGAGCTCAGCCGCCATCATGCCGCGTTAAACGCTGGAACTCACATCCTCGACGATGCGGTGGAGCTAGTGTGCACAGGAGTGGTGGAAGTGTACAGCTGCCGAAGGCGCTGAGCAAACTGTTAGGGCGGTAGCTACTCTGGGATCATTTCGGCTTACCAGGCTTGCGACTGCCAATCGCGGTAGCCTATTTCCAAGGCTATGAGATCACGTCATGAGTCATGGCGCCATTGAAGAAGTCCACTCAAACTCGTGTGGTTCTCTCTTCAAACGATCACTACGTAATAAATTTTCACGGTTCTCGCGCTTTATTTAATTTTGCTTTGGACGTTAAAACAGACTGTTTCTTCTCAGCGTAGTTACATAGAATAGGAATTCCGGCCTAGTCTATATAGTTTAATTTTAAATGCTGACAAGAAGAAGCTCGTCAGTAAGTTTGCATATTTGCAAAAATAAACAACGATTTCAGTAATTATCTCAGTGCAGTTATTATACAAAAATTTAATTTTATATTTGTTTTTACCTTAAATTTGTAATTACGGGTTAATACAATCTTATCATAATTTGAAACGGACATCCATCAGAAATCATTTTGATAAACATATACGCTATCGGTATTTAAAACTGAACAATACCGACCACAGAATAAATAAGAAAATTTGAACATGCTTCAATCATTTAATGCCTTATAACCTGGGAAAATAAGGGTAATTAAGACAAGGATCTCGGGACGTGAGACAGTCGGCTGAAATTTTATGAGAAATCATTATTTTGACTACATAATATTTGTCTCAAAACCTATGATCAAAGAAAAAAACTATATTTAACATATTTACTGCAAATATTTCATTTCCTACGAGTGTTATGCTTTATGTATGTACACAGATACTGTAGATAATTGAATTATCTATATTTTGTTCTACATTTCTTTTTTATACCTAGAACCATTTTCGTTAACATATTAGGCGAGACAAAATAGACAAATTTAAATTTAATTTTTTAAATTTTTTATCGTCGTAAAGTCCTCGTAATGTAACGAAACGAAATGAAATCAAGATCCAAATAGTATAAATTCTAAAGGAAACGAAATATTTTCTTTAAAAAAATTGTAGAAATCTTATTTCTGTTCTTTGATAATGACATTTCCGTAGTTTTTTTTAATGTTGCCCTAATTGGAGGTTTTCTTAAGTCGTTTACAAACATACAAGTTCACATACACATGACACCCGGAGCAATATTTTGTGGATGACACAAAGACGCGCGGCAGCCGGTTGCCGAGCCACCGCACCAACCGTATAGTCGCGGTACGATAAGTAGGTTTTGAGACAAATTCTATGTTATCAGAATAAAGATTTTGGACTAGTTTCCAGCCGAGGTGAAACCCTTTTTTTACCAGACTATTAATACCACAACCGGATCCACTCATCGTGTATCAATAATGGCACATTTAGGGCATGCCCCAGCCCCAGCCACATAAATAAATTGTGCGTTAGTCAGTCCGTTAGTCAAGCTAGCTGCTGTAGATCTCTGCCTCATTAGGACGCCACGGAGACGGTACCAGTGGTATAGGCCTGGTAACGTCTGGCGTATGAGCGTGTCGCAAACTCGAGTAGCCATGGCGTCTGACAAGTGACACTCAATTCAAAATATTGTCGAAGCTAAATCATTCATTTCAATTCAACCAATTTATGTCACTTTTGAATGTTCAACGAAATAAAAAGTAAAGCTATCCAAAGTGCAGCCTACACTAGGAGTACCTCCTGGACCATTGGAGTAGAACAAGCAGGAAACTCCGTGGTTGCTCTTTTTCAATCAGTTTCAGAGTCCACGTTTTGGTTACATTGTTAAGTCAGTTTAATTATGCGTGAACAATGCAACACTAGTGCACTTAAAATGGCGGCCCACTGACGACTGAGTAAGCGAGGTGCAGGTTTCTCGTGTGTAATGGGCAACGTCGTGATGCCGGCGTCGCGCCGCCAGAGTATCCAGAAACCACGCAGGGAAGCTATAGCTCGTGTCCACGCTTCCTATCAAACTTGGCGGCGTCACCAAGTGAGTTAGACCCGCTACGATTCAATATGTATCTGGTAACGTCACTGTGACGTCCTAACGAGGCACATCTATAAAACAGCACAAATATTGTCCTCCGTGCCCGCGCAGCACTGCGTTAGTAACAAATTGGTGTTAGCGACAGTGTTGGCGTTAGCAAGCAGTGCAGTGTGTGAGTGTGTGAGTGTGTGAGTCAAGTACTGCTTCTATACTTGACAGAAATCTTTTAAAACGCTACAAGTAAGTAGTACCTAATTGTACAATGTACATATTCCTTTCTGCTGGTACTTTACTAATTTTGTTAGAGGAGTACTGAGTCTAAACAATTAACGCATTTTCGTCCGTTTCGACGGACGGTCAGTCGCTCACATCTCCATAGAACGATTGCCATCCGCCCTCCTCAACCTTCTATAAGTGATACCAAATTCTTATCTACATCAAACCCATACCACGTGGCACAGTGCACCCGTTCAGTAGTTCGCGTCGCACGTTGTCTGCTCTATTGATTTTAAATACAAGTATTCAGGTATTATAAATTCCACAGCCAAAGGAAATCGAGTGACGAGGTAACTCGATTAGTTTTTGTCTGCAGGCGTTACGAAATCTGATCGAAAAATAATATTGTTTTTTTTTTCAATGAACACTAAAGACTTGAATACAATAAATCAGTAATGAATTATGATTAATAATCTATGTATGTATGTAAGACTCAGAATATTTTAACTGACAGAAAATAAAATTCATTCAAACCAAAATAAATCATATTAAAAGTTCTTTGTCGATAGTAGTGAAAGTCATAGCTCCCTAGATGTTGAGCAAGTTATATTTACTTTATTTACTATACCTATCCCAGCCATGGAGGATTAGTGCGACGGGGGCGTAGCTAGTGCCGTGCCTGGCGTAATAATTACACGTCCGCACTACGGGGGCCCCAACGTGCGTAAGCAAAAATTAGTAAAAAGTTCCCAATATTTATTTTATTACAGTAATCACAAAAGTCAAAATAAACTATTTATAGCGTAAAACATGCTCTCAAAGGTTGTTGTTTACAATACGTTATATTTATTATCTAATCTAATATCTGTAAGTTGGCACTTCTAAGCACAGGTTCATTTGTATTTGTGCACATTATAAAGATTACACAACATTGCCGTGGGTGTTCTATGTGAAGTGACGGTAGGCGGACTAACGTCTCGCCCCTGCTTTGTCTACAATATCTCCTGACATTAATAGTGTAACCTGACCGCAATTTTCCGTAATATTATTAGAGGTATTACACCTGTCCATAGCCTTTTAGTAATTACCTCATCTCCAATGGCTGAACTAGGAATTTGTACATTAATGTCGTGCCACGCAATGCGCTTTTTGTGGAATAAATGTGTGCATGCCCGTGCGTGTATGTGTGTGTGCGTGTGTGTTTGTGTGTGTGTGTGCGTGTGCGCCACACCCGCAGGCGGACCGCAGCATGCCGCTAGGAATGATCAGCGCACTAACATCATTTACCTGTTTCCGGGACTTCTTGATCATTGGCTGCGGCTTCAGCTCCTCGTCGGAGAAAGCGCGCGTCCGAGGATCGAAGTCACGTCCCGATGATGCCATCGAAAACGCTGAAATTATATAAATTCACTATGTGAGGTACTGGTGAAAATATTAATAATAAATATATAGTATTGTGTGAACTAATAATACTTATTCAAAAATATGGGAACAGTAAACACTAACAAATTCAAGTACCGTTCAATGTATGGCTGTCATTGAATTAAATTTGCGAATCATTCTTTAATAAAAAATTAATAAATTGGAATTAGAGGGAAAAAACTGAGTAGAAGTTTATAAAACATGCACAAGGACAATTATGAATGGAGCTCAACTGAATTATAATTCAAGTAGATATATAAGCGATGCAAGAAGTTGGACAAACTTTATCGAATTTAGATGATGTTTTTGCTTGGACAGCGACTATGATAGGTAGGTATCGTATTACTTGGTGTATTTAATTTGCTATAAGTAAAAAACCTACTAAACAATCGATTTTTGGTCTAAAACATCGGAGGACACTTATTACACAGCGACTACATCTTCTATTACTTTTGAGTTAAATTTAAAATTAATTTTGATCTGAACAATTATGTTTGTTGTTTAATAAAGTGTTATTAGTTTTCTGTTCCAGGAAGCTCTGAGGCGTATTGATAATCAAGGAGTTATGAAGACTGGTGGGTAAATTCGATACACAAGAGGTAGAGCAACCCGGCTGTCTCAACACTCATGATTGTGCACTTCGTCATAAAATGCAGATGTTTTAATGTCAAAAAGAAGATACCAAGTTTACGAAGAAATTATTTTGTTTGATGTTCAAGATTAGTTAAAAGTGACATTAGTTTAAATGAAATTATGATTTGATTTGACTGCAACATAATTTAATTAATGGATAAATTTAATTTATGATTCTGCAATACATGTTTACTTCTTACTAGAAGTACAATAATGCGCTAATATCAGGACTACCTATTTAAGTCGCACTGTAGAGATTGCTATGTGCACGACTGTGGCGCCCTCGTTTATTTTCATGATTTAATAAACCGTATTTGTCATTATTAACTAAGCTGTTTTTAAATATCCTGAAATTGTACTTCGAATTTAACATTTATTGTAATTTATTTATGTGTATTTTAATTCCAAAAAAGAGTACATACTGGAGTCGGCGGGTGAGAGCGGCGGGTTGATGGTGTCTGGACTCATACAGTCGGAGGGTGAAGGCGAGCGCTCCCGCTTGGTGACCGGCGCCTGCAGGCCGAGCGCTGGCCCGAAGGCCGAGCCGCCGAGGTGCGCTCCACCCAGTCCCTCGCCCGACATGCCATTCTCCGACAGGAACTCGTCTAGGTCCGCGTACTGCAACAGAAACCCGCGTCAGCGCCGCGCCCGGCGCCCTGCGCGCACCGCGCACTGAGCACCGCGCTCCTCCAGCACTCCACTCACATACCAGTATAGCCAGAACAGGGTTAACATTCGCGCTGAGCATATTCGCTGGGCTTATCATCACTTATATCATACACATTACATGTCTATCAACTACAGTAAATATATAGGAGACACCACGAGGCCGAAGCAGAACGAGGGTCAAACCCGGTGTAGACCGGGTGGAGTGAGGTGGATCATGAGGGCTGGGGATAGCAGGGTGGGGCAGTTAGCTAGCGTCTCTATTACCTAGTGCGCGGCACGGCAGCGGTACGGCGCGGTTAGAAAGTCGGTGAGAGACGGCACACGACACGCAACACGCAGTAGGTAATAAAGTAGCGAGTACTGACTTCTTGTACCTTGAGATCGGGGTCATAGGGCAGCGTCTTGTCCCATAGCGTCGGCCCGAGGAAAGCGGCCTGCGCCTCCCACAGGTCACTGTCATCTTTCTTGTCTTCGAGCGGGTCCTTACTGTTCACCGACTTGCCTGCAACAATGATGACAGGGCGTCAGCTCCGGTGCCGGCGCGACCACCGCACGCGTGGCCCACAGAGCACAGCTCACTCGCGCTGACGGGCGCGCGATCACTCACTCAAATCGTTCGCTACAGGTGCAAACAATCGCGAGGGCAACATTCACAATACATTCGGTTCAATCACTATATTACTAAGTCGCACACGCTTATTTATGCATTGAAAATGTACAAGACAAATAGACAACAAAGGTTGCATGGACGCCATGGACGGACAACGTGACGTATTCTGGGCGCAGTGGACGACAAGCTGGTGAATGTGCCTGCAACCCTACCAGTGACATGGGAATGGAAGACGTTACCCAGGGAAGGAGCTAGTCGCCGCTCCGTCATCTCCAACAATGGACAATTTTTAATTTTCTTGTGGAAAGTATGACACGCATTTCTATCTCGTTGGCTTCCCGTTGCTATGACAACTATGCAGGACATGATGCAGTGGCGGTAACATTACGAGGTCTCTGTATGATCGTAGAAGGGAGAAGTCGCTACTGATTCAATACATAGGTTTCAGGGCTCAATATTCAGAAACATAGGCGTGGTAAATATTGAAGAGTTGATGTTATTAAGATTATAGGGGCAAAGTTATTTTTTGTGAAATTATTTATATGTTGTATACGAGTGGGAGATGCGCACGTGAATATGACGAGGATATTAGTAGAAGCTGATCTGTCGTCGAAGGCCGGAGGGTGCTCACGTTGTAGGTCACGCGGCGGGGCGCGGGCGGGGGCGCGCGTGCCCCGCCGCGTGACCGCGCGCGGACTGCCTCCTCCGCCAGCTCCCACACCTCCAGCATTACACCGCCGACTGCCTAGTGACTGCTACTGACCACGCACTCACCCTGGCCTGCATCCCTCACTGCTGACCATTTGACTTATTCCATACTACTAGGCTTACAAGTGTACTATTATTTTAAATATAATTTAAATTTATCATCGTATCCCACTCTAGTTCCCATGCTTCCTGGTTACTTGTGACATTAGCCAGGTGTACTCGGACCGCGAGAGCATGGCAGTGTGAACTGAGTCGTGACAGCAGCGTGTGTGTGTCTAGCGTCCACTCTCGGCAGACGTGTGTGAGGCGGCACGCGGCCTCTCAAGGCGAGCCAGCACATTTACATAGCTCGGCGGCGGCGCAGCGACCGACCTGGCCAATCATCACAATATCGTAATACCCGTCCGTGGGGAGGAAATTCAAGTCAATATTTATAATCAACGTTAAACTTTCACCGGGCAGCAGAGTTAAAAGATATGTATAAATACTTATACTTAGTACCTTTCATTAAAATATGGAGACCACTACGCATTTATGATTGTTTCTATAGAAAATCTGAATAACACGCATCATCGTTTTCGTCATCATCATCATCAGCAACTGTATCGTGTGTGACCGTCTGCTACTAAACAAAGGCTCGCTACTAAGAAGGGTTTGCTCTACTTAACTCCCACGTTTGGCAGGCAGCTTGGGGATCAATCGATCTCTATCTATTATAATCGTTAAAATCTCAACATATTGACGTTTTTAAACACAAAAAATTAAAAAAAAAATTAGTGTATAAAAAATACATCACATATTATTAGAAAGAAAGAAAGTAAGAGACGACATCTACCTACCATTGACACAATATGACAAATTTCATCAGACTAAGTTTAAAAACTCCAAAATCAACCTCATTTTTTATTTAAAACAATTTCATTGTATAATGTAAGAGCCGTTTTTCCAAAAAGCCACATCTTTATTCTATATAAATAAAAATGAATTTCCGTTTGTTAGTCTCGCTAAACCTCGGAAACGACTGAATCCATTTGGCTAATTTTGGTCTTGAGTTTGTGGAAGACCAGGGAGGGTTTCAAAGGTGGGAATCAAAGAGCGATACGAAGACTGCCGGGTCCGCTAGTAGCTTTATAATATGGTTTGAAAATCCTTGATCGGAGGAATAATTGTCATTATTTGACAATCGTCCGTACAAAAACTATTAGACGTGAATTTTATTCTATGATGAATCACTATGAATAAAAATTATTTGTTGATTGTAAAATCGACACAATTTGTCTAATACCTGTTACACCGTGAAACAAATATTTTTGTAAAACCCGCATTAAAATTGGTCCTAGCCAATTGCGAGACAATCACGGACAAACATACAGTCAAGTTGAAAACCTCTTTCTATTTTAGAAGTCGGTTAAATATATCCCCGTGAAACCAAGCTTTTAAAATGCCCAAATCTAGGTACCTAATCAGCCACTACCCAGGTAACTAGACCATTACTGGGGCCTCCCACACTGTTGTCTAAACATTTGATCCGCTTATATTATTATTAGATAACATTGTGATTAAATGTTATATGGAAATAAGTATTTACTCATGTATTTTTGTCAATAATTCAGCGGTCGTGGAGTACCACGTACAAATGAAATGTTTCTGTATAGAATGCCAAAATAATATAATTCGCCTGGTGGTAAGCAATGTTGTGGCGAACGAGCAAACTATTCACTGGAAACTTGAAGATGCCCCAAGTTGTACCTTCTGGATACACAAACTCTGGCAAGGAATTCCACTTAGCGGTTTATACACGGAAGCGATGCGCGCGAGTGAGTGGAATACCTACGAGGTAGGGGGGCCTCTAAGATAATTTAACTGTGACTGACTATACTTATTAGTTACAAATAATATTAAATAAAAGTACCCAATTAGTTAAAACAACGACAATACTAATTATAGTATATTAATAGTATATAGTAATTATACTAATAGTTGCGTGAGCGAAGCAGCGAGTACTGCTAGTTTCTTATAAATTAACAACTAACATCAAAATATGTTTAAAATCGAATTATGTAGTTTGTAACAAATATAAATGTAATATTTGTGAGTGGAAAGATCTGTGATGCCTTGTCGGGTGTTGAGTGTAGTTTCTGAAGGGGCAGTGAGGTCGCAGTAACCGTAAACAAAACGAGAAGTTTTCAAGTAATTAAAAACTCACTACCTAGTCTGAAATCGGTCGTACATAAGCAGTTTCTTGTTTGCAGTATGTATCGGAGAGTGACACAATCGCGGTCGTGGGAGCAGACACGCATTGCTGGTGTTTCCTGCACAAAAAGCGCCACCGGTGCAGCGATGCAGCGAGCAGTAGTGCAGCGGCGCAGCGGTGGCAGGAAGCGGGAAGTAACCCAGTTGCGCGTTACGTGCGCGCGCGCCACGCTTTCCTCGCGCCACGCCGCGCGCACACCACGCACCGTTCTTATACAATCACTGCGCACTGGCACGCTGTACTCTGCACGCTGCACGCTGCACGCTGCACGCAGCCTCATCCAGCGGTCACGCGGTCGCATGTCGCCATAATTGACCGATGTGACGTCAACAAACTCCCAGCGTTATACAGCGGCAACATACAATATGTTATCAGCCAGGTGTAGCCACATAATGCACATATCCTTACTGTTAATATAAATAGTTTTCAGTCCACTGCGTGATTACTGTCTCAGTGTCTCACCGAGCATGACGTGCATCTCTACATTACCATAACCATTTACATTATGATCGTCTTGTCCGTGTGTACTGCACGTATGTTACCTAATTGCGTTACACTATTATTACATTAATAAAGGTTTAAGCTAGATCAGTTTCCGTTACATATAGCTGATGGAGTTGCTGAAGGAATTGTGTACGTCACCCATGCAAGGACAGTGAGGTAGAGTAGTAAAAGTGTACACAAATCAATAAATCACAATACTTTACTGGCGACTGAGAAGCTCACTGCCGGACCGACTGGCAAACAAGATCCGAAGCCTAGACTTAGCACGCGCGTTCAACGCGGAATGTGAAAAAATAAACCCTAAACGTGAGTTCCTCAAAATTTCAAAAGTTTAATTCCTATAGCCATTTATGCAAATAGAAAGTCGCGAGTAATGTATTATACGTAAATAAATACTAATAAGTTCAATATGTCAGACGCAAGCATATATTTTCGACAGTTTGTAAATTGTACATTGTTAAGGAATCACCTGGCGAGTCACCTGGATATCTCATGAAGAGACTTTTTAAGGAGGAAAGATCATCGTATCACTCCTTAATCATGGGTGAAGCGAGAGGGAGTGTCAAATTCTTACAGGCTTAAAACCACCCAGTTTCCTCTTGATTCGAGTCGGAGCTACAGAAACTTATTATACTGTATCCTTAACCCTAGACACGCCAGTTTCTGATATAGTTCAAGAACTAAAAAGACCACTAAACGGGTCCCTTAAATGGGACACGTTAAGGATATAAAATTATAGTATTAAGTCGAAAACATATTGAAACAGTTTATAATGCTTTGCAAATAATTGATAATGAATTAACTTTATCGTTTCTACAGCCCCGACAAAGTGCGTAGAGCCCCAGTCGGCGATAATCATTCAATCAGTATTCAATAATTTATGACCAGTAATCAATATTGTTCTTAAATAAAAATTTGGTTTTACGAGCAGTCTTAAAGAAAACAAAAGCTACACGTTCGGTCAGGAGTTACAGAATTCGGCGCGTGTATTCCATCAGAGAAAGTGTCCAAACCGGCCGAGCTGAGCGCAGTGACGCTTGCACTCTCACTTTCTTCCGATACGGTCGGTAGAAAGTGACGCGGCGCCGAATCACCTACTCAACAGTCAACATGCTAATGTCAAGTATAACATGACGGCTTTAAATCCAGTGCACGTGTTGGAAGCAATAAGGGATTGTTGTTTGCAAGAAATTTAAAGCAAATAAGCATCCCGGGTGCCGCCGGCTGCAGCGAGCAGGTTGTGAGCAGGATGTGCATGCCGTATGACGTCAGCCTCGGAGTCGATGCGTCGCGGTGGAATGCTGCGCCGACATCGGTGAAAAGCTGAGGTTGCGCAATAAGCTCATTTCCTACTCGGAAAATAGGTGAGGAGTGCCGTGAGCGACGCGTGCGGGGGAGGGGCGGGGGCTGGGAGGTAGTTGGGAGG